AAACGTACAGCACCACCTATAACTGCAAATCGAGATTGAAGCACTCCGAAAGCTTGCTCTACATCTTTCCTTGTGGACTCTTGCATCATTGCAAAATGTTGTTTCTTTGCTCCTTGGGGAAAAAATATTGTTTGAACCAGTGTTGCCCATTGAGGGTATATACCATCAGTAAGGTAATAACCCATATTATAACTATGTCCATTAATAGTGTAATGGATAGGGAAAGCTTTACCGTGAGCAAGATCAGAAAACAAGGGTGATCGATCCAATACATTCAAGTCATTGTGTGATCCAGGCATTCTAAAAAATGTATGACAAATCCACAAGTCATAAGAAACTACTACTTCAAGAATAATGGTTGGCTTTTTTTTATGGTTAACGTATTGACCTTGCCATGCCTTTGGACAATTTTTCCACTCCCAATGCATGCAATATAAACTTCCCAACATACCCGAAAACCCCCGAACCTCCCCAATAACAAGTAATCTAGCGATATCAGTTGGTGTTGGAGATCTCAGATATTCTGGTCCGAAGATTTCAATCACTGAATTACAAAATTGTTGCAAACTTTGAATTGCAGTGCTTTCCCCAATACGTATATAATCATCAACTGCATCTGCTGCCACTCCATATGATAATATTCTCATAGCTGAAGTCATCTTTTGTAGGGGAGACAATCCAACAATATGAGTTGCATCTTGTTTTTGAACAAAATATGGATTGTGTGCTTCAATGGTATTCAAAATTCGTAGATACAAAAGACGACGCATTCGAAAATGTCTCCAAAATATTGTCGGTGAATAAACTGGATTTGCCATAAAATAATCTGCAAATAATATCTCATGACCCTTCCTTCTATTGCGGCGTATGTACTTATGCCCTACAGCAGAACCACCTATTTTCTTTGAGCTATCAGTTGATTGCATAATCTAAATTATACTAGCATTATTCATCTCATAAGCCCCAAAAAATGTGACCATATATTCATCATCAGACTCATCATCAGAGGATGAGGAAGAAGAAGAGGATGAAAATGAAGTGAACATCATAGAATTTAAGATAGTCATTATGCTCTGTTTTCTTTCACTTATGTGCCTTTTAGATATAATCGTATCACTTGTCTAGTATATGGCATATGGATAATGTGTTTATATCAGGTTTTGGAATGAAATCATTGTTGGAGGCAACAAAAAATGAAAAATATGTAATAGAGGGAAAAAGAAATAATAAACGAATTGGGAACAGAAGGGGGGGAGAAAAAAAAAATTGAGAAGCCTAACCGATCGATCGGTCGGTCGACCCACTGGACGTCCCCTTCGCTTTTGATGCACACCATTGGAGCTACTCATATCAGATTGAGAAAATCAACTTTTTTTTACTCAAATTTGGTGAAAATTATAATGAACCATTAGAGATGCTCTAATGTATAAGAGCATCCCTAATAGAACATTTATATCCACTCATTACCTATTTTAAGGGGTTTGATGGCCCCTATACACTTCCAGTAGCTCCCTTAACACTCTCCTAAAATAGGAATTGCTACAGTATCTCCCTGTTTGTAGGGAGTCACTATAGTACCCTTATATATATATATATATATATACATATTTTTTGCTTTGCTTTGTTTAGGAACTATAGTACACATTTACGATTTTTATTTTTTAAAATTTATAATGAAAAATTATATTTTAATATAATAGAGAAAAAAATATATAATTTGTTAATAAAATAGAGAAAGAATAGGGTGTATGTTGTGAAAAGTAAATAAAAAAGTGATTCTTAAAATAAAAAATAATTTTTTAATAATATTTTAAAATAAAATATAAGTAATCTGGTAGGAATACTCTGAGGCCCCGTTTGTTTGGAAAGTTAGAGAGGAGATTGGGATTAGTAGTGAGGTGGGATCCACTGATATTGTGTTTATTTTGAGAGATGGGGAGGGGATTGATTGTGAGCTCCGGATTAGGATGGGCCTCCCTAAGGAGATTCGGATGGGTCTCCAGGACTTGGTATTAGAAAAAAAGTCCGGCGGACTAGAAATTTTTTATTTTTATTTATTTATTATTTTATTTTTTACATGTCGGGTATTTTTTTTAACATTAATATTTAATTTTTTGTATTTTTTGTTAAGTAAAAATAATTATTTTATTTGTTTTATTTTTTTATGGAAATTTTTTATTTTATTTTAATTTTTTTTAAATTTTTTTACATGTGAGGCATTTTTTTGTGTGTTATGGGATGTCCACCCAGAAGTTCGGATTGGGTGTTATGGGACATCCACCCGGAAGTACGGCCGGACGTCTGGCCGGTCAACCGGTTGGTCAACGGGTCAACGCAATTTTTTTAAAACTTCTTGGGCATTTTTTTTAAAACATTAATGTTTAATATTTTTGTATTTTTTGTTAAGTAAAAACCATAATTTTATTTGTTTTATTATTTTATATAAAAAATAATTTAACAATCCCCTCATTAACAAAACAAATACAATTTTACTAATCCCCTCACTATGAAAACAAACACAATTTTACTAATTCCCTCACTATCAATCCATTCACTAACAATCCCCTCACTATTAATTCTCTCACTATCAATCCCCTCCATTCTATCTCTGAAAACAAACGGGACCTTAAAACTTTAATCAAGGTGACTCATTGGATTGTCAATACTTGTCTTCATAACCAACTACCTTTAGACTGGATGACCAATCCCCTACTGCTTTATCGAGTTTAACTAGTATTTCTGCATAATTTCTGTTTGTTTCTCTTGTGTTCCATATTTCTTTGATAAAAAAAATATGTATATATACATATATGTCAGTTAAATTTAAATTAGTTATATAATAAAAGAGAGAAGATAAAAGAAGGGAAAAAAAAAGTCAAGGGGCATTAAAGTAATTTCACATGCTTTTATTAACAGTCATCCGTTTTAAATGGCAGGAGTAAAGTGTTCTAAAATTATAGGAAGTAAAATGAAAATGAGAAACTTATGAATTAGTCAAAATTTTCTTAAACAAAAATAAATAAATAAACAAAACTCTAGACCTCAAACCACTTTTGTTGCTCCCTAGCCTAGATTTTCTAATAATTTCTTTGTGAGTTTTATTTTTTAGCTTAATTAGTTTTATTGTTTTCATTTTTAGTAATTTTTCAAAATTATAACATTTAAAAAAAAATAGTTCTATCTTGATTAAACAATTTTGAAAATAAAAAAAATTAATAATTGAAAAATCTCCATATAAACTTTTTTTTTTGTTTTTTTGTCGAATAAGCCTGAAAAATCTTTAATGAATATTTTTCAAAATATTTATTTCTTTAATATTTAAGGTTGACCAGCTCCAGATCTAAAATGTTAAAAATTATAACATCATTTTAAACAATGTTTACTAAAATTGTTATAAAAAAACCAGCAACTTGTAAGGTGGGCAATTGTAGTCACCATAATAGCAAAAGTAGGATGTGACCCTGATATTTAAATAGGTTATTTACACTTTTTATTTGTATAGTTGATTTAAATTTAAATAATTTGATCTCTATATTTTAAGATTTAATTTAATTCTTCTATTTAAATTTTTATTATTTTTTACCTATATACCTTAAGACTCCGGTTGTTTAGAAACAAACGAATGGTAAAAAATAAAAATGGTAGAAAGTGATGTGAAAGAAACACAAGAAATGAAAGTTTATTTTCTTGTACGCATTTGAATAGATGAAAAATTTTATAAAAAAATAATGAAAAAAATATATAATCACTACATAAGAGGGAGTTGTGGGGGAGAAACATGGGTAAAAATAAATAAACAAAATAAACTTTGTCAAGATTTATGGGGAAAAAAAGTTTCTCTATATATTTTGCAAGAAATTATTAACCTAATTAACAAGCCAATTTCAATTATATATACATAAAAAAAAAATTAGTTTTCATTATTTTTTAGAACTTACTATATAAATAAACACATAATTTTTTCTGTCTCTCTCTCTCCTGTCTTATCTAATTAACCAAATTAAACCTGAAAGACCAACAAATGTCTCAAAAATAATTATAACTTCGTTACCTGAAAGACCAACAAATGTCTCAAAATTAATTATAACTTCGTTTGCATTCTTCCATGAATTCCTGTGAACCTTGTCATCCCCTTACAGTAAGCCTGAACACTTTGGCCTTGTTCGGGCATATGTTATTTTGGTAATTTTTTAACTAGAATATGACGTAAAAAACTAATCAGCTTGCTTGGTTGTGTTTTTTTAAAAATACTTTTTAGAAAATTCTACTTTCTTGTTTTTCGTGTTTTTTTTGTTTTTATTGAATTTTTTTAATAGTTTGAACAATTTGTTTTATTTTTTAGATATATCTAACATAAATATACCTAAAAAGTAAAAAATTTGTGAAAAAAACCTTTTAAAAATTCACTGAATACTAAAAATACAAAAAAATACAAGAATTCAGAACATTTTTTATATTTTTATGTATTTATTAAAATTTTAAAATATTTTTTTATAAATTTTTTACTTTTTAGAATAACATGCTAAAAAAATAAAAAAAAATGTTTAAAATTTTAAAAATATTCACTAAAAATAAAAGAATACGAAAACCAAAAAATTCAGTTTTCAAAAAGCTTAATTCAGAAAACTCAAACCAAACACACTGTATACTATTATTAAATGAATGTCTAAATTAATTTAGTAAAATATTTTTCTTCTCATGTCACGTGACAATTTTTTATATGTTAAAATAAAAAAAATTATTGTACATAGTATAAGTAAATTTTAAATTCAAGATCTTAAATTTCATTAAAAATATAATTATTACTTAAATAACTTACATATTATGATATTAATTTTTTTATTATTTATTTTTATTATTAATTATTTAAGTTGTGCACATATACACATTCCTGTATGCCGTCCACTATGTACTCTAAGACGACAAAAAAATAAAAATATAAAAAATATAAAAATAATGAACAAATAAAATAAGCCGAAGGAGTAATATAAATTATAGCGTGTAGAGTATGATTACTCCTGTCTCTCTGGAATCTGTATCTACCCCATCTAGTATCTAATTTATATAGAGAGAGTGAGAGAGAGGGAGAGAGTCGTTGGTTGCTGCTAATGGGTACCAAAGAGGATGAGAGATTGGAGGAGAGATTGCTCTTGGAAGATGGATTTCCACAGGTAATTTTGAAGCTTTGATTCAAATTTCTAGAACAAAACTTATAGATGATGTATTGCAAAACTTGTCCTAAAACTTTTGACAGATTTTTGAAACAGACTCAAATTTCAATGGAAGATGGATTTCCAATACTTTTTTGCTCTTTTACTCTTTTTAAGTTTTTATAGATGTATAAGAGCTTTAACAATATTTCTTTCTTTCTTTCGTTTTTTTTTTTTTTTTTGCTCAAATTAGAGTGAAAATTTAGAGCTGGTTTGGCGTGGACTAATGTAACCAATTTTTTCATGTTTGGACTTTTTTAACACTTTTTTAGTCTCGTTTCGTTTTATTAGTCCCTTATTCCATTTTTCATTGTCCCAAAATATTAATCTCTCTCCAAAAATCAAGTATAAAAATAATATAAATTTCCTATTTTACCCTTCTTTTAAATTAATAAACAACATAAAAAGTACAATTTTGCATTGATATTTTAAAAAAGAATAATGTTTGGGACCCCTTTTGGGGTCACCCCTCACCCCCCTTTGCCACGTGGTAGGGGTGATTGGTGGAGCAGGAAAAAAAAGAAAAGGTAACCAATGAGAGAGAGAGGGGGTCAAAGGGGTGGGGGAAAAGGAGGGATGAATCATTACTCTTTAAAAAAATTACTATCAAAAGGATAGTTTTGGGAAATCAATTTTTTTCAAATGCAATAATTATACTACCAAAAAAAATTAGATTCTCCAAAAGGGACCATTATTTTGGGACGGAAGGGGTAAAAATTTAATTAAAAGTTTTACAACTTAAAATATAGTTATTATAAATTATGTTAATTTGGAGTTAGGTCAGGCTATTAGGTAGACTTCTGCGGATAGCTTATATTCGGTAGTAATAATTTAAATAAATTTTTAAAAATATTTATTAATGGAGAGAAGTTGTTTTAACTTCTGTTGTTTTTTTAAGCTTCCAATAATATACACCAAACACGGTGAAAAGACATTCCAATCCTTAACTTTTCTTTTCACTTTTTTTTTTCATAAAATCTTTTGAAAAATTGCAAAACTTATCCTAAAAATCTGTTTCAACCATTTTGAAAAAAGAAAACAATCTTCAATCCTTAGTCCTTTTAAAATTTCATCAAAATCGAGAAAAATTACGAATTTTGAAAATTTGGTGAAGGATTTCGTTCATAATTGATTTAGTGAAAAATTTGCCTCTTCCTTGATTTCATACAGATTTGATAAAATGGTTGAAATGCACTTTTAGCCATTTTTTCATCCAATTTGAATTTCATGACAAATTTGAGGAATGATTTGAAGATGCTCCAACTCGAAGGACAAGGTTTCCGTTTTAATCATTTTGAAACCTTTTGAACTGATTTTGGTTTAGTTTTTTTTCTTTTTCATGGGCAGGATTTTCCTGTATTGACGTCTGAAATTTCAGGCCCTGTGATGGGAGCATTGTTTAATTTGTTTTGCTCCCACTAACAAAAATTCTGAACTTTGTTCTATGAAGACCTGGTTTAGGGGAGTAGCCATAGAATGCAAATATGAAGAGAGATAGGAAATCTAACCCATAGTTCAGTTATCCTAATTTGTGTAGAGACTAGAAATAAAAGTCCTGAATTGGTTGCTAGAACTGAATACCAAAATCAGTTTGATGGTTAAGCCTACTTCATTAATACCATGCAAACGTTCCAAAGGCATACCATGTAGTGAAATACAATAATTGCTGCAATATTTGAACTTGATAAAGCTAAAGCATTTTAAGAAATGTGAATTTGAGAAAGAAGGCATACCATGTAGTCAAATACAATAATTGCTGCAATATTTGAACTTTATAAAGCTAAAGCATTCTAAGAAATGTGAATTTGAGAAATTTTTTGATTGATCGGTGTAAGAGGGGTTAACTTGAGCCCATTAAATTAATTGAGCTCAATTGGAGTCCAGTCGGAAAGCCCAAAATTAGTGAGCTCGGAAAAATTATCGCCAAGTAGGCTAAAGTGAATCCTATTGAATGGGCCTGCGAGAAAGTCAACAAATTGGGCTGAGGAGGACCTATCAAACTTATATCTCTAAAGAGAGCCCAACAAATCCATCCGAGGAGCGCTAGCTCGTATGGGCATTCAGAAGAATTAATTGGCGCGCGCTCTTGAAGAGAGATCATTTTCAGAAGAAGTGAAACTTCAGAGGAGATCCATTCTCGGAGATAATTACTTTATCTCGAAAATATTCGGATCCACGAACGCAGAGGCTTATTGAGCTTAGACTCGAAAGGGTTCAAAGTAATCCTAGTGATCCGAGGAATTTTTTGCTTCGAAGGGATTCAAACCTAATCTAGAAGTCGCTCCGTTAATGAGTCCCAGAACATTTGCAGGCTTGAAACTTTTTGGGATCGATGCACCAGAACCATAGGCGTGACGAAATCTAAACAAAGGACCCAATCCCGAGGATGGTGGGTGGAGATAAATTCAGTCTTCGATTAAACTAGCCTATATCTGGATCGAGGTGGCATGATCTAGAGGTTTCCTAAGACTCGGCGATATTTGCGGTAGGGTGTTCTCTTGAACTACCTTTGGTCCTTCTACGACAGGGCATCCTCTGGGAATACCCCTGACCTTTGGAAACCATTGGTTAGGTGTGGCTAAGAAGAATGATTTACTGAGATATTGAGCTACTCTTTGGGATTTTTCTTATCCTCAGAGAAGTCACCTCTTCGAACAAAGTGGTTAGAAAGAATATGTTATCCTATATCATGAGGTGCCTATAAATAGCACCTACCAATAGCTTTACAATGGGGATGATTTTTGGAGAGATAATTTTTGGGGAGAGAACTAATCTCCCTTTTTCATTATCTATCTTGAGAGATAGTGGGAGATCCATGGAAGAGCCTTGCCATTATTCTCTCTCTAACTATTTTGTCTTCTTCTTCACCCAATCTCTTATCTCCATCATCTCTTTCATATTGTGCTTCTAGTTGCAATCGTTGAACAATCTAAGCCTCTCTTATCATTTCTAGAGAATTCGGATTTTCCGGCTATCTTTGAAGATCTTCAAATTTTCCGGCAAATCTTCGAATTTTCCGGCAAACCTTCAAAGTTTCCGGCTATTTTTCTGGTGACATTCTTAAAGAGAGATCATTTTCAGAAGAAGTGAAACTTCAGAGGAGATCCATTTTCGGAGATAATTACTTTATCTCGAAAATATTTGGATCCACGAACACAGAGGCTTATTGAGCTTAGACTCGAAAGGGTTCAAAGCAATCCTAGTGATCCGAGGAATTTTTGGCTTCGAAGGGATTCAAACGTAATCTAGAAGTCGCTCCGTTAATGAGTCCCATAACATTTGCAGGCTTGAAACTTTTCGGGATCGATGCACCAGAACCATGGGTGTGACGAAATCTAAACAAAGGACCCAATCCCAAGGATGGTGGATGGAGATAAATTCACTATTCGATTAAACTAGCCTATACCTGGGTCGAGGTGGTATGATCTAAAGGTTTCCTAAGACTCGGCGATATTTGCGGTAGGGCGTTCTCTTGAACTACCTTTGGCCCTTCTGCGACAGGGCGTCCTCTGGGACTACCCCTGACCTTTGGAAACCATTGATTAGGTGTGGCTAAGAAGGATTTACTGAGATATTGATCTACTCTTTGGGATTTTTCTTATCCTCAGAGAAGTCACCTCTTCGAACAAAGTGGTTAGAAAGAATATGTTATCCTATATCATGAGGTGTCTATAAATAGCACCTACCCATAGCTTTACAATGGGGATGATTTTTTGAGAGAGAATTTTTTGGGAGAGAACTAATCTCCCTTTTTCATTATCTACCTTGAGAGTGATAGTGGGAGATTCATGGAAAAGCCTTGCCATTATTCTCTCTCTAACTATTTTGCCTTCTTCTTCACCCAATCTCTTATCTCCATCATCTCTTTCATATTGTGCTTCTAGTTGCAATCGTTGAACAATCTAAGCCTCTCTTATCATTTCTAGAGAATTCGGATTTTCCGGCTATCTTTGAAGATCTTCAAATTTTCCGGTGAATCTTCGAATTTTCCAGCAAACCTTCAAAGTTTCCGGCTATTTTTCTGGTGACATTCGAATTTTCTGGCAACGTTATTGGAACCTCACACACAATCGGAAATCAAAAATAGTTGTACCAATATGTCAAACAATTAATTGTTAAAAAGACCTATCTGGTGGTGAATTTGCTCATCTAACACATTCAATGTTTTCATTCTTGCTGCTTTGCACATTGTTCATTTTTTTTCAATGTATTGGAATGACAAATAACATTATTTACAAAACTTAGCTACTTGCTAGTAGTTGTTACAGTAGCTGCATATTAAGGTGGTTCAGACCAGATTGTCATCTGCATGCACTAAACATAATGCAAGGATGCCAATTAATAATAGGTCAGAAAAACTACCCAATTGTAAAAACGTAAGAGAAAATCTCTCTCTCTCTCTCTCTCTCTCTCTCTCTCTCTCTCTCTCCCTCACACACACACACACACATGCACACATGACACGGGAGATTACTCTGCAAGGTTTATATACTAAAAAATTTCTGCTTTGTGCCTTGTAACTTACGTCTTCAGAACGAAAGCAGTGGACTATACACTGGAGATGGTTCAGTTGACATCAAGGGGCAACCTGTGTTGAAGAGCAACACTGGAAATTGGAGAGCATGCCCCTTCATTCTTGGTAGTTGCTAGTCCATCATTCTCCATATTTTTTATGTTTCTGATGTTCCGTCTTTCCTTCTAATATCTTTATATTTAAAACAGGTACTGAATGTTGTGAACGCTTAGCTTTCTTTGGGATTGCTATTAACCTAGTCAGCTATCTCACCAAAACAATGCATGAAGGAAATGTCTCTGCTGCAAGAAATGTTTCCAATTGGACAGGCACTGCCTACCTAACACCGCTTATCGGAGCAGTCTTGGCAGATGTATGTTGGGGAAGGTATTGGACAATTGCTGTCTTCTCTGCAATTTATTTTTTGGTAAGTATGAACTGAAGTTCCCAATGTTCTAAATACTTAGTTCAGAAAGAGATGGGCGATGATACATAAACAACTTCAGCTTTTTAATCATTGCTTTGATCCTTTTTTGTGTTGGGCATGCATTACGTCATCTTAAAGTTTTCTGATAAAGGCTTGCTTGTTATTTGAATGTTCTTGTAGGCGTCCGATTATGTGTTACCTACAGCTTTCTGTTGGAACCATATTGGCCTATTGTAGGGCCACAATCCATTCTAGATGCTCGTGACTTTATTAGTTATTGGTGGTATTTCCTAGGTGTACCCATCATCTAGTCTGGTATCACTTGAATGTATGAATCACAGTGGTAGTGGTTTCAAGAATAATGAGTTAGCAGTCAGCGACTTTACCAACAGCGTGGTGCAATGGCAATAGACCTAGTTGTGCCAATTAAACTGGGAATTTATCTATAAGGATAAAAGGACTAATAATCTAGACATTTTATTAAATCAGGAACGGGAGAAGAATTATATATGATGAAAGTTGTTTGATCGGTTGACTACCCTCTTTTGTGAATGCATTCGAAGTTGCCTATCCGCCCTTGCTCGCTCGAGTAAAGGAGTTCTCGCTCGAGCGAAGGTTGCGTCTGTGTAAAAACTTGAAAGAGATGAATGTACACTCGAGCGAAGGGTGCATGGCTCAAGCGAAGCCACTTATGGAAAACACGCGTTTTTGGTTCCTCGCTCGAGTGAGAGAAATTTCGCTCGAGGGAGCTTCGCAGTCCCAGATTTCTATAAGTATTTGTTTTAGTCCAAAACTAGGATTACTCCTCCAGATCTTCTTCTTGGATATTAAGGTTTATATCTGAGGATATTTTGCTAGTTTTTTCTTTGATGTTTTAATTGAGTATTCAACTCATGGGTTAAGAAGAATACATCAAAGGTTTGTTTGTTCATTCTACACAAGAGAGAGAATTGTTCTTCGGTAGATTCTGAAGAATTCGAGCTTGAAGCTTTGGTGGATTCTGGAGTGGCTCATCGTCAAGACAATTCCGAGGTGAAGACGGGGTTAGAAGAGGCACATAGGGGTTGGTTCAATTCGGGCGTGGATTCGCTAGGTAATTGAGAGTATACCTGTGTAATTCCTTTATGTCTTTTTAGTGGATTGTTTTGTGGCTTTTACCCGTGATTTTTTTTATCACAATTGGAGGTGTCCAATTGTGGTTTTTCCACGTAAAATCGTTGTGTCGATTTGTCTTGATTGTTTGATTGAGATTGTTATGTATTGCTTAAAATTGATACATAATCATAAATCAACATCTAGGGGATTTCTAGATTTTTCACCCATCATCTAGTCTGGTATCACTTGAATGTATGAATCACGACGGTAGTGGTTTCAAGAATAATGAGTTAGCAGTCAGCAACATTACCATCAGCATGGTGCAATGGCAATAGACCTACTTGTGCCAATTAAACTGGGGATTTATCTATAAGGATAAAAGGACTAATAATCTGGACATTTTATTAAATCAGGAACGGGAGAAGAATTATATATGATGAAAGTTGTTTGATCGGTTGACTACCCTCTTTTGTGAATTTTATTACTTTGTTTTACCCTATCTTTTTTTCTGATAATAATTTTCTGGTAACTCTCAGTTCTAGAATGTTTTATTTATTACTTAATTTGAAAACTGGAAAGGAAGTCGGAACAAATTTATGGACAAATTTAATGTTCTAAAAGTGATTTGGATCATGTCCCAGTTGGGGTTTTCATATTAATTATGATCCATCCAACTTAGTTGGGATATGGTTTTTTTTTTTTTTTTTGTTCTGTCCATTGTTGTCGAATCGTGAATTGTTTTGCTAAAATAGCGAACTGTGAGATTCATTTTATTTAATATGATATATGATTTTATATTTATAAACATATAAAATTACACATAATATTTAAAATGAAGTAAATATCAATATAAATAAATTGTATGTCTGTATAAACATATAAAATCACATATAACTAATTGATCTCTTCTATATATCTTGATAGTTTGGCAAAAATGACATCGATTCATGCATTATGTAAACAAAATAAAAAATAGACATGAATTTCAGTGAATTGCAAATTGAATCGTACAATTCACTCAATTTCCGATTCAACAGCACAACTCAAATCATTTTTGTTGAAACTCATGTCGAGTCGTATGAATCAAGTAGTGAATCGTACGATTCTGGAAACCATGGTTCTTTCCTCTCAAAATTTTCAAGAGTGGCTTTCATCTATATCTCTCTTACGTTTTTGAACTTTGTTATTTTGTAAAGGGAATGTGCATATTGACTCTAACAGCCACAGTTCCTGCACTGAAGCCAGCTGAATGTGTTGATTCCCTATGCCCTCCAGCTACTCCTGCTCAGTATCTGTTATTCTATCTTGGGTTGTATCTGATTGCACTAGGCACTGGCGGGATCAAACCATGTGTTTCCTCATTTGGGGCAGATCAATTTGATGATACCGATCCTAAAGAGAGGGCAAAGAAGGGATCTTTCTTTAACTGGTTTTATTTTTCTATCAATTTTGGTGCTCTTGCATCAACTATTTTAATTGTGTGGATTCAAGAAAATGCTGGGTGGGGCCTGGGTTTTGGCATCCCTGCATTGTTTATGGGCATTGCCATTGTAAGTTTCTTTTCAGGCACTCCACTATATAGATTTCAGAACCCGGGGGAAAGCCCTCTTACAAGACTTTGCCAAGTTTTGGTTGCATCATTCCGCAAGTGGTATTTGGAGGTCCCTACGGACAGTATTCTCCTGTATGAAACACCAGACAAAACCTCAATAATTGAAGGAAGCAGGAAACTGGACCATACCAATGATCTGAAGTAAATTTTTCCCTTGTTCTCCTAGTTTAAACACTTCTATCAATTCTTACCCTTATTAATAATCTGTTTTCAGTTTTCTTCTGCCATCTAGAAGCTTATCAATTGATTTACAACTTAAACGTATTTATAGGGTGTTTTGGGCATTGCACGTAAGTAGGGCCTTTTATATTTTTGCATTGAACAAACATGTTGGTTGTGTAAATGGGATCACCACCATAATTATTCATATACTGGTAGTAATGAGATTATATGATGCGTATATGAGATTATATGATGCTCTTTTGTGAAGTTTTGAGAGTCTTGAGACTAGATAATAGGTTTAATGAATTACCTTTAAAATTTACCAGGTTTACCTCAATTAGTTTATGAAGACACAATAGGAAGCTTAATATCCATTAGGTGTCCTCATTTATCCTCATTTATTTTGTCATGGTTCTGTAACATTATACTGGGATGATAATTATTGCTTTATTTAATGCAAGTCATTTTTTAAAAATATGTCATTTTTTTTATTTTTTTCATTTCATTCAGTGTGGTTATTTAAGGCGTTATGAAAAAAATCATTGTTTCATAAACAAATAATTTAATTTTTGAGCTTGGATTCAAAAAATATTATTTCATGGGAGATGTATTTGAAATGCAATCTTAAAGTGGAAGATGGGGGGATTTCTAGTAATGTGCTCTTTCTATGGTTAGTTTTATGAATTCCTTTCGTTGAGTCCTCTCACTAGTTGTTTATTGAGATTGGCTTTATATCCTTATCATCTATGGACTAAGAACAAGGATTGGAAGGCAAATGAAAATTACTGGAAAGATGCAGCAGTGTGATAAAGTATGGTATGATTTGTCAGCACAGAAGTAATGGGAAGTTCTCTGATCTATTTCATCTCTTTAAAATAGTTTATTTGTGTGTACTTAAATAGATCTTAAATTCTTGATTTTGGCAATTGTATCATTCTAATGATTTTCTTTAAGGAAACTACTAGTGACAGGTTTAGGGGGAGGGAATCTGTTTGATTTTTCTACAAATAACTGTTCATTTGTCCGTTTGATTGGAAACATGCATGAAACAATAGTGTAAAACCCAAGTTCCAATGTTTCTTTTTTCCTTTTGGCAACATGTCCATTTCCTAGTAGACCAAAACCACACCCCAAAATGAGAATTTGATCCTTCTGTTGGGTTTGAGGAGGGGTTGGTACTTGGACTCCTTAACACAATAAAATGAGAGTTCACGACTGCATTTTTCTTATTTTTATTTTATTTCTAATCATGCTTTGTGTGATATGTTTTCTCTTGGCAAAAAATGACTTGTTATGTATGAAATTATGAACTATCTGAATACTTACAATTATCTCTTGTACTGTCATCTTTTTTTTTAGACTTATACAATACTTTTACTTTATGATAGTTTATATACTTGATTAATTCTCACCCATTTGTTTCCCAGATTATTCACAACAAATTTTGTCATTACTTCAGTAAAACTATTATCCCTTCTGTAGGTGCCTTGACAAAGCTGCGGTAATTACAGACATTGAGAACAAAAATGGGGACTTCTCCAATCCGTGGAGGCTTTGCACCGTAACGCAGGTGGAGGAACTAAAAATGTTGATTCGCATGTTTCCAATTTGGGCTACTGGAATCATCATATGTGCTGTTTATGCACAATTGGGCACATTGTTTGTTGAGCAAGGTATGATGATGGACAGGACCATTGGTTCCTTCTCCATTCCTGCAGCCTCTCTTTCAGCATGTGACGTCATAAGCGTTATTTTCTGGGTCCCTGTTTACGATAGGGTCGTCGTCCCTATTGTGAGGAAATTTACTGGCAGAGAGAAAGGCTTTACAGAGTTGCAACGTATGGGAATCGGCCTCTTTATTTCAGTACAATGTATGGTATCTGCTGCTTTGGTGGAGATGAAGAGATTGGCACTTGCACAAGCCCTTGGTTTGGTTGACAAAAATGTTCCAGTACCACTTAGTATCACGTGGCTAATACCCCAATATTTTTTGTTCGGTGCTGCAGAAGTATTTACATTCATCGGGCAGCTTGAGTTCTTTTATGAGCAGTCACCGGACGGCATGCGTAGCTTGTTTGCTGCATTGTCCCTTTTGACAACTTCCATGGGAAGCTACTTGTGCTCTTTTATTCTTACTGTAGTGACATCTATAACAACCGAGGGTGGGAAGGCTGGATGGATAGCGGATAACTTGAATGAGGGCCATCTCGATTATTTCTTCTGGCTTGTGGCTGCACTCAGCATAGTAAACTAGGTGGTTTTTGTCTTTTGCGCCAAAATGTATAAACCAAAAAAGGCCTCATAAGTTTTTTTTTTTTTTTCCTCTGCAAGTGCTGGGAATATGATCAGTGTATGTTTCTGGAATTTCATATTTCCATCCAAGTTCCAAGAAGATGTTTGTAACATAAATGTTGTAGAAAAAGTATTTGTTTGTAATGTAAGTACTATGCGTTTACGTTTATAGGCTGTAAAACATTCTTTCTATCATGACGTAAAATTAATAAAATAATACATGAAATTGTTTGAATCTTTCTGGTTATTTGCATTCACATTTTTTTGGTACAGGGAGAAAACAAAGTGCTTTATATTGCCTAGATTATGTTTTTTGATCTGTCCCCAGTGTCAAGTGTGGAGCCTAATTCAAGACTTTGAAGGCTCGCTTGAGTGGAGTCCTCATGCTGCTCATGTTGGAAAATTTGAATTAAAATTTACGCTAATGGTAGTGTCTCTTGAGTTGGAAAGGTGTGTTCTTTTGAAGGGTCACAACTTTTTCAAAAAGTCACATAGAAATTTATAAATTCCATCTCCCTCACTTCAATTTGCATAGGGAATTGCAATTTTCTTCTTCACTTTGCATTTATTCTTCATATTTTCTGAGTCTAATTTTCATATAAAGAGATTACATGAACAACGAAGTTCGCTAGGCTTGCAATAGTAGCATTGCTAATGCAAGACATTGATCGTTGTATATCGGGAAATAGACATCCATTGAATCCTAAACACCGGTGGGAGGACGAATCTGTCTTAAAGAAAGAGTATCACACACTCGACTCGATCAGGTTTTATCTTTTTATGTACTGTAAGTTTTGTTATGTTATTTTGTCAATTTATTTCAGTTTTGGTTTTGCCCAAAAACCATTTACATATTTTTAAATCATATTTTTCAAATAATTTGGTACTATTTTTCTAACAATTTTAAAACAGATTTGATCATGTTTATGGTTTTTGGGAAAATATAATTATGTATTATTGTATAACTGGGAACTTGCAGCATGAATAGAACTTACCATGATAAATATTTGTTTCTGTGATGTTAGTCATCATTCAAATATATGATATTAAAAAAAAAAATGATTTGTTCAAATCACTTATTTTTTGTGCATTGTTTATTTGGCCATGGAACGGTGCAACTTTGAATTTTACTGTGTGATTACGGTATACTTTTGTGTACTATCAGGCCATGTTTGATTCACAACACTAATAGTGAGTTATTAATAATCCTATTAAATTAGTGTGGTATTAGTTATCCCACCCCTACCCCATTACTAATAATCCTACAAACTTGTTGGATTAATTATCCATTGGATTAATAATCCTAAACCAAAATGTCAAAACAAACATAGGATTATTGGGCCCACCGATTAATAATCCCAATCCTATGCTTTAATCCTTCCAATCAAACATATCCTCAGTGTGTAGAGAGAGGAACAGATAAAGAAAACAAGAGAGAAAACAATCTCCAATATATTCGAAATTTTAATAATAAATAAATATAAAAAACAAAAAATAAAAAATAAAAAAACTGAGACGAATCAGGAATGGAGATTCATTCCTCTCTGAAGTGCTCCAAAGACCAACAGAACATTTATCAACAATGGTTCAAGTATGTAGACAAAGACGGCGATGGGTGCATTACGGGGAAACGACACCACTAAGTTCTTCACTATGTCGAATTTGCCTCGACAAGATCTCAAGCAGGTCTCTCTCTCGCTCGCTCTGTATACTTGATTTTCCATTGATTGTTGTTCCCTATTTGTTTGCTGAGAAAACAAATGGCGTTTTATTGCTCATTTGTGTAGATAATTGTTTGAAATTTACTTCCATGGACCTATGAGTTTTGCACAGGTTAATGTGGTAGATCTATGCATCCCTATGTCACTTACCATTTTCTTAAAAGTCGTGTTGATTCCCTCAACGGGTTTGGGGTAGGTGCTGTGACAGCACCCTACTGTGGAAGCAAACGCCACCCTTTTGATTTGTATAATAAATAAATAAAAAGCCAACCCAAATCAACAGCCCCTCAAGACCTACCCCAAGTCAACAGCCATCTCTCTCTCTCTCTCTCTCTCTGCGTATACGTGCTTGCACAATTAGAAGATTGGATTCACCTTCTTGACCAAAAACAAAAACAAAAGCAAAAATAAATAAAATATTTCGATGGGGTTTGAGACTGTGATAGCACAATCCTCTTGGAGCATTGGAATCAATAATTTCTCCTGGGATTGCTAAGCACCCATGAGTCGGGCACTGAGAACCCGACCTGTTTTCTGGCAACATCATCTTTCTCTCCACCAAACTGTGAAACCCAAGTAATTTATAGAATTATTTTGGATAAATTAATAATTAAAATAAATTGTATGGGTAATTTAGTAATCTTAAGAATTAGGTTTTCAATCCTTAAAAAAAAAAAAAAGAGGAAAAGGGTTTTAAATTTTTTTGCTATCAATTGCGTAGAGGATTGACTGGAAGTGGTGGTGGGAAGTTGAGGGGAGCATTCTTGATACTCATTGATCAAGGTACTTTTCTTTTACACTATTGTTTATTATATATAATAGATCAATAGGCAGAGAAAAGAGATGGAAAAGAAATCCTGTGGGGACACATAATGCATGTAAGGTTCAACATGTATAGTGCTTTGTGTAGGTTCGTGATAAAAGTGCTTGTGTGGGTGTAGTTTTGACAATAGAGTTGGGTATTTTAGATAAGGTGTGTTGGCTATTAATTTGAAGAAACGATTTGGTATTTCTTGAGCTTTTCATGCATATAGTGGGTTTTGTGGATGTGTGAAAGACACAAAAATATTAATTTATTTGAGGTTCTAATTATTAGGTTTGTGTGATTAAAGTGGTGGAGCTGAGTGTTTGGAGTTGGTGTTGGAATATTATTTTAGCTGTTTAAGGTAAGTAACCCTCTATCATTGTTGGTTCATTTTTATTCCTATCGAATCGTTTAAAATCATAAATATTTATTTATAGCCTTCATGTTCTCTTAAAATAAAATATGGGTCAAGTATAAAACAACATCGAATATTATTATGAAAGTTATTTGAATATTTGGTGAAACTATTCTGAAAATTATACTAAACGTTTATTTTGAAAATATCGAATGTTTTATTTAAAACTAGCCTATCACCCGTACTATGCCCGGAATAATTATAGATATTTATATTTGTTTTAGATTCTTTTTAATATATAAATTATGTTTTTTAAGATTTTTTATAAAAATAATTTACCAATCTTATCACTAACCATAGTGTATGAGAGAAGTTGAAAATGATACTACAGTAACTATACACAGATTGTATCTATAATTATTTGTATGAGGGGATTTTAAATGCTAATCAGAGGATTTTGACCAAATCAATAAATGCAGACATGTGGATTGAAAAAAGTTAATAAATGCTGATCAGAGAATTTTGACCAAATCAATAAATGTTGAGTTTTTTTTTTAATAAAAAATTTAAAAAATTCAGATTGGAATATTGAAGCTCCCACAGTCCTTGGGGGTTAAAAACTCCCTTTTGCTTAATATATAGTATAGATTTGTGTATTATTTAAATTTTGAACATTACTCTAGTCTGACCATGATTTGGACCCTAGCCAATGGGAATTATTTGTTGGCACAGAAATTAATTTCTTTTGGGGCTTTACCACCGGCCTATGTGTGGTTCTAGGCCTTGTCACAGGCTAAGTGACCGTAGTCATTAAGACATGGGTTTTGTGAATCAAATCATTGAACCATCTGAATATCGAACTATCGATTTGAACAACGAATTACTTTGAATTATTTTGTTGGCTTTTTATTTAAAATGTATTGTACATTGTTTATTTTTAGCTATGAAACCATCTTACAAATAATTGTTCATTTGGTGAACTGTAGAAAAAATTATATTTATTTATTTTTTGTATACTTGATCCAGGTAACAGTGATAGTTGGTTATTTACTGGGCTATCTAGTTTACCCTCTTTTTTTTTCAGATTCTGAAGAGTAGAGCTGCGTGAGATTTTTACATGTGAGAGTGCCGAGAGTAGGACTATGATTTAGGTACTTGGATTATTGTTTTGTTAATAGATTTTATTAGTGGACTTGGTGGATAATTTCATATGATAAGAATAATCAATTTTTATGGATTTTAGCATTATGATAATTAAAGATTTAATTGGAGTATTTTACATTGTTGGTTATGTGTTGAATTCTTAGCCTTGCATGCTCACTTAAATGAGTGTGCGGCGTTGTCACGGAGTTTGGGGCATGACACTCTCAACCCCTGTATCGCCTTCCCCATGGATGTCGTCATCAAGTCTTCTTCATCATCATCATCCTGGTGGTGATGGACCGAGGTCGATCAGGAATGGCGGCAAGGATAAAAGGAACCTTAATCTTTAAACCATGATGATGATGATGATGATGATAATGATAATGAAGATGATGAAGATAACGATGATCTTGAGCAATTTGATCAAGTCTTGAAGCTGCCATTTCCATGTCCAGTAACCAAATCAGTGCTTTTACTGATCTTTTTTATTTATTAATTATTATTATTATACAAATCAAAACGGTGGCGTTGCTGTGACAGCACCCACCCCAAACCCCAATCAAAGATGTTGAAAACGGTTTCAAACTGTGCTCTTTTTTTTTTTTTTTTTTTAAAAAAAAAGGGTGTAAATAGTTGTTTTTCAAACTGTTTTTTTTTTTTTAATTTTCTTATTCTGGAAATTTTTAAACTAGTTTTGAACAGTTTATTTTTCTGGTTTTTTTTCAATTCTGAAATTTAAACTATTTTCCTGTATTTTCAGTTCTAAAATTTTTTGTTTAAATTTGTTTTTTGATATTCAGTTATGGAATTGGTTTTAGAAACTGTTTTTAACAATTCTAACTGGTTTTCAATGCTAGAAATTTAATTTATTTGCGTTCATGCCTACACATGTTATAGAGTTGATAATTAAGGTTTACAAATCTTTGTGGTATTAATGTCATTTACATGGGTGTATTAATTAATTTAGAATGAGTTTTATGACATCCATGCAACTATTAATGGATCTCTTGTGGGGTATTATTTAGAAAAGTGTATTTCATATATAAATAACCTTTTGTTTGATTGTGATAGTAGTATTAACAATCGTTAACAAACATGATGATTTAAATAGTAGTGTCGTTCCATTTAATTGGAAGTAGATTGAGACATCTTTTGTGTTGATTATTATTTTGTTAATAATCAATTGAAAGCTTTTTTAAAGTAACTTTAAGTTTTGTGACATAAATTGTCATCAATCATTATTTTACTTGTGTAGTAGAATTTGTTTAACCATGAACCATAATATTAATGTGTGAGTTTATCTCTTGAATTAGAAGAGATAATTCAATTTACTTTTGTCACACATATTTTTGTGATAGTAACATTTTGTTCGTAAATGAGTCATGTTGTTTGTGCTAATTTATGTATTATTACAAACGTGGGGGAGAGAAGCAGAATTGTCTGCTAATTATGATTTATGACATGTTATTCATAGAAACTCGAACAAGAAGTATTCGAATTTAAGAGTTTAAATCTTAATTTGGATGTACAAGTACTTTTTCTTAAAATACATTATACAAGTATTTTTCCTTGAATGCATTTTAAAGAATTATACAATTAAATGAGATTTTTAAATTGTTTGATTATTGGGCAAAATCTTTATGAGGATATGATTTTGTCAAAGCATTAATTGTGACTTGTGGTAGTCATAATTATTCTGGAATTCATAACTTCTTTTCAGAAATTGATTATTTTAAGCACACCATAGTCAATAAGTGATGGATGGTATATTCTAATTTATATCAGAATTTTAGGGGTGTATTGATATTTTCGTGTAATAATATCTTAAAATTAATTTTTCTTAAAATACTTAAAATGTGGAGGTGCTTGGAGGATTTTACTAACGTAACAGTTCCAATAATAGGTCCATAAAGAATCTCATTTTTTTCTATAAGACAAAGTTAGAGTAGAAGCAAAAATGGTTTCATTAACTCCTAAGGAACAACTGTATGTTTATTATTTAAAAATGGGAGTGACATAGATTAACGGTAAGTCTTGATACAATCAGAGACTTAAAACTGTATGACATTTGCTTTCAGTTGTAAATATTGTCTAAGGACAATATAATGGATCTACTAACTACTCAATGATGTATATATAATTGAGAAGGTCAAACGAAAAATAGCGGCCGCTAAACAAAAAGTTTGACCAGAGAGCAAATGAGAAAAAGTTCATCAAGTGGAATGTGATTAAAGCTTATTACACCAGAGTCATCATAATGGTAACCCTACTTAGATGACTAAAGATCCCAAAAGCTAAGTTCAAAAGGACAACTAAGTTATGTGTGGCTCACCAAAAATCACTAAAGGAGTCTATCTCCTATCAATTCCCATGATGAAAGTGATATCTGCAACATGTATTGTATGTAAGGGATTTAGGGTAAGCTATGCTTTTAATGATCACTTATATCTTGAAAAACCTAGAGGGGTATCTTTCAAGAGGAGTATTTAAGAGACTCAAAATAAGGATCACCTATATGAGTGTAAAGGGGCCGCTTCTATGAGAATTGATAAGGCTAAATTTTCTAAAGCACTCATGAAACACCAGGACTTGCCCAAGGCCAAAACGGGCACAATCTTGAGAACTAAGTTGTATTTGGAGATATTCTGTGTGAATTCTATTATCTTGGCTTACACAAACGGCTAAACAATTCAAGGCATCACGTCTACTAATTAGCTAGTAAGTCCGATAAGCAAAAGCGTGCCAAGTCCCGAAAAGTTGCTGATTCTTCATTTTGCTGCAACGGAGAGCAGGAAAGGGGCATAGCCATGTATTTTCACAGATATATGCATGCCTCGATCCTCGTGCCACCAATCACGCATACCGAGGCAGGATGGCCGAGGAGTCGAATTGCACAACTCAATATAGGATGAATGCACATAAAACACAGCTAAAACCTAACTCCATCATGGATGGTCCAGAGTGTCGGTGACTGGGGAATTGAGACGCGTTCCGTCACTCGGAGTACAGAACGTACCTCGTTTCCCGTCCCCGGGCTAACTCCTATCCCGAACACAATGCAATATGCATAACATGCATGAAATGCAACTAAGAGACAGCCTAGCATGCCCAATGCTATCAAAATGAGATACCTCGAAATGCGTGCACATGGGTACGCAAACCGAGGAAATGCATGAATGCGATCTGAGATACAACCTAGTATGCATTATGCTGTGAAAATGAGATGCCTCGAAATGCGTGTACAAAGGCACGCAAACTGAGAAATTGACATATGCAATGCAAATGACATGTAAATATGATATGGGCTTATACCAACATGAGAGAGCCTCAGCCACACTCACATAGGATGCCGACGGATAAAAATGAAGTGCCTCGAAATGCATGCACACGGGCACGCAAACTGAGGCAATGGTAGAATGCGATGCAATGGCATGGAAATAGCATATAGAATGCAACATGGACTTATACTAACATGAGAGAGCCTCAGCCACACTCCACACTCACATAAGAGGCCAGTGGATGAAAATGAAGTGCCTCGAAATGCGTGCACACGGGCACGCAAACCGAGACAATGGCATACGCAATGCAATATGGCTAAAATGGCATATAGAATGCCACATGGACTTATACTAACATGAGGGAGCCTCAGCCACACTCACATAAGAGGCCGATGGATGAAAATGAAGTGCCTCGAAATGCGTGCACACGGGCACGCAAACCGAGGCAATGGTATATGCAATGCAATGGCATGGAAATAGCATATAGAATGCAACATGGACTTATACTAACATGAGAGAGCCTCAGCCACACTCACATAAGAGGCTGGTGAATGAAAATGAAGTGCCTCGAAATGCGTGCGCACGGGCACGAAAACCGAGGCAATGACATATGCAATGCAATATGACAAAAATGATATGCAAACATGCTAATGGATTTTCAGCAATGAAAAGTGGGAGAAAACAGCCCCGAAATGAGGCGAAAACACACCCGATGCAAGGAATTGTCCCGAAATATGAATTTTGGCACCCGAAATGGCCTATAGCTATACCAAACATGCACAATATGGATATGCAATGAATAGACAGTAGCAAGGCAGCCCCAAAATAAGCATTTTATCAGTACAAATCATGGCTAAACAGCAAGTAAAGATAGGGCAACAATGGCATGCAAAAATGGCCCTAAACATGAGATTATGAAGCAACTCACAACTGCTAACTCCAAATAGGTTAGGGCCCTTCAACAACATTGAAGAGGGGCCAAAAATAAGCCACTCTACAGAACTGTAAAAATCCTAAAAACAAACATAGATATGGCTAAGCTCTTATGCAAGAAAAAGGGCCAAAAGGTGGCCAAAGAGGCAAGTGGTATATGCACAGCCCAAACTGAAAAATTCCCTTCTACAACATTGAAGAGGGACCAAAAATAAGCATATTTACAGAACTGTAAAAACCCCAAAACAGTATACAAACATGCTAGAAATGCAATGCAAAATAAGGCTCAAAAGGTGGCTATAACACAAAGTATGCAAAGCATTCACCAAACAGCCAAAGACCCTTAATGAAACATGTTAAGAAGGTAAAAATAAGACTATTTCTAGGCCTGTAAAAAGACCAAAAACAGAAGCATGATAGGCTGCCAAAGCATGCAAGAAAATAGCATTTAAGGAAGACATTGAAGCAAGTGCAAGATGTGATTTGTGAGGATCATGGCCGGCTGGTTTTTGGACTTGAAGGTGGCCGGCCGGCCACCACTTTTTAGGGTCCTCCCATGTAAAATGACCTTTTCAGTTTTGGTCGGAGCTCAAATCAATAAGCATGTATGGCTTATAAATGGTGCAAGAAATGGACCAAAAGGGGGGAAAATGCTACTCACCCTTGAAGACCAATACTTTTGTTGCTTCTTGGACCAAATTTGATGACTTTAAGCTGCTGGAATTCCTCCCCTTGCTGTTGGAATGGAGTGGTGATGGTAGAGCTTGAAGATGATGAAGAAAATGGAGCCAAAACTTGAAGGAAATGGGGTGATATGTATCTATCTCCTCCAAGCAACTCTTGTAACCCCTTT